TTTTTGCGTGGCAGGCGTGGCACTCATGGTACTGTGTGGCGCGCTTGGTCCGGATTTGTCGCCCGGGGCGCCGCGCCACTTTGCGTGGCAGGCGTGGCACTTGGTGACATTCACCTTCGTTTCACGTGGCAGGCGTGGCACAAACTCAAATCCACCGTCGTTTTTGCGTGGCAGGCGTGGCACTCATGGTACTGTGTGGCGCGCTTGGTCCGGATTTGGCGGCCAGGGGCGCCCGCCGGCACTTTGCGTGGCAGGCGCTTGGCACTTGGTGACATCCACCTTCGTTTCACGTGGCAGACGTGGCACAAACTCACATCCACCATCGTTTTGCGTGGCAGGCGTGACACTCATGGTACTGTGTGGCGCGCTTGGTCCGGATTTGTCGCCCGGGGCGCCGCGGCACTTTGCGTGGCAGGCGTGGCACTTGGTGACATCCACCTTCGTTTCATGTGGCAGGCGTGGCACAAAACTCGCATCCACCGTCGTTTTGCGTGGCCGGCGTGGCACTCATGGTACTGTGTGGCGCGCTTGGTCCGGATTTGTCGCCCGGGGCGCCGCGGCACTTTGCGTGGCAGGCGTGGCACTTGGTGACATCCACCTTCGTTTCATGTGGCAGGCGTGGCACAAAACTCGCATCCACCGTCGTTTTGCGTGGCCGGCGTGGCACTCATGGTACTGTGTGGCGCGCTTGGTCCGGATTTGTCGCCCGGGGCGCCGCGGCACTTTGCGTGGCAGGCGTGGCACTTGGTGACATCCACCTTTGCCACGTGGCAGGCGTGGCACAAACTCACATCCACCGTCGTTTTGCGTGGCAGGCGTGGCACTCATGGTACTGTGTGGCGTGCTTGGTCCGGATTTGTCGCCCGGGGCGCCGCGCCACTTTGCGTGGCAGGCGTGGCACTTGGTGATATCCACCTTCGTTTCACGTGGCAGGCGTGGCACTTGGTGACATCCACCGTCGTTTCACGTGGCAGGCGTGGCACTCATGGTACTGTGTGGCGCGCTTGGTCCGGATTTGTCGCCCGGGGCGCCGCGCCACTTTGCGTGGCAGGCGTGGCACTTGGTGACATCCACCTTCGTTTCATGTGGGAGGCGTGGCACAAACTCACATCCACCGTCGTTTTGTGTGGCAGGCGTGGCACTCATGGTACTGTGTGGCGCGCTTGGTCCGGATTTGTCGCCCGGGGCGCCGCGTCACTTTGCGTGGCAGGCGTGGCACTTGGTGACATCCACCTTCGTTTCACGTGGCAGGCGTGGCACAAACTCACATCCACTGTCGTTTTGCGTGGCAGGCGTGGCACCAGCTTTGACACACCCTCTTTCACACACCACTTTGTCACACACCATCTTTCGCACACCATCTTTCACACCCAACTTTGTCACCCACCATCTTTCACGCACCATCTTTCACACACCACATTGTCACCCACCATCTTTGACACACCTTCTTTTACACACCATCTTTGTAACACACCATCTTTCACACACCATCTTTTACACCCAACTTTGTCAAACAGCATCTTTGACACACCAAGTTTCACACACCGCTTTGTCACACACCACTTTGTCACACCATCTTTCACCACACCATCTTCCACACACCATCTTTCACCACCCCATTTTTCACACACAACTTTGTCACACACACCATCTTTGACACACCATCTTTCACACAGCACTTTGCCACACACCGTCTTTCACACACAACTTTGTCACATGCTCTCTTTCACACAGGACTTTCACCCACACCATCTTTCAGCACACCATCCTTCACACACCACTTTGTCACACACCATCTTTCACCACACCATCCTTCACACACAACTTTGTCACACACCGACCATCTTTCGCCACACCATCTTTCACACACCACTTTGTCACACACCATCTTTCACACACAACTTTGTCACACACTCTCTTTCACACACAACTTTCACACACGCCATCTTTCACACACTGCTGTGTCACACACACACACACCATCTTTCACATTCCACTTTGTCACTCACAACTGTTTTAACTTCTCGATCCTTCACCGCCTCCTTCCCCTAACCTTCTTTCCCCGTCCCTGCTACAACCTTTCATGCTTATTATTGGAAGAAGTTGACTTGTGGGGTTATCCGGTCCTTTAATTTTGAAGCAAACCCATACTGATGGGCACTGATTCAACTGTGTCGAAACTCCATCAGTTTGTCCAAATCTGGGGGTCGAGTTGGTTGCTCACACCCGCATTGTTGGTAGCTATGGGCATACTTAGGTTTTAGGCAAGACAAAGACATGATTGTATCATATGCATTATCCATACAGGTATGTGCATAGATAATCATAGATATCCTTTTCCCATGGGTTGGTTGATTGATAGAGGGTAGTTCCCAAGGTATTTGTATTGATTGTTCCCGAAGGACATCTATGGGCATGGATACAGATGTACCATGGTCAAGTTACATTCTATACGGATTATGGATGGTTATGGTCATTCCGCCCACTTCGGAATCCTGAAAAAATATTGGCACATTGGCCATAATCTAATTTCCCCTATTTCCGACGCCAATGGAGTATCAATGGTGGTATTGGTGGTATGACCATCCCCAATGGAGTCGGTACCACTGGACCACTGGTCGATGACGTCATCTGGGGATGGGTCGTTTCTTGCCTATGAAATGACCAAAAAATGGGGCTACAATAGCAAACCATCCCTTAAGAATTGCCAGAAATGGCGGCTTTCTCAAGCATAATAAGCATGTGGATCCAAAAAAATGGGTGCTTGATGTTTTACCACCAGCTATGAGGGTACCATCTGGACGTTCTAAGGTGGATGGATTTGGCCAGTTGATAGCCACTTGGAGAGATATCTGATGCCTCATAGGCTCAGAGCTACAGGGGGGTTTGGGATCCAGCTATAAAGCTTGCTGTGAACAGCAGGGTTTTGGCCGATATCTCGGAGGTGGCTAGTTTTGAACCAATATATAACAAATAAATACATTAAATAAATAAATAAATAAATACATAAAGAAATATATAAATGAATATATATATATATGATATATATATATAAATATCTTCGGAAGGTCTCTTTTGGTCAAACACCAGTAGTATCCATCTGCAGATACATTGGAGACTCAGGAACAAATCCTCCCAGGATGACGCATTGCGGGTCATGTTCCCCAATATAGGCACGAGATGGTATGAGAAAAACAAGACAAAAGTACAAAACGCCAAATTTGACATCATCTCCAATTTTGTGGGTCCATTCCATTCTTACCCCAATTTTTATCCACACATCATGACATGTTTTCGGAGTTGTCACAGCACCATTTCGATCACCGTTGCATGCACTGAGGTGATCGACGAGAGCTTTGAGGTGCTTGCCTCAGACATAGAAATCTCATCCGCGTGTTGAATACCCCCCATCTTCGTATTAGTATTGGATGTGTTCCTTTGGGGTCCATATGGGGGATGTATTTGATATTAGGAGATGGGATTAGTATGGCAAAAATCAGGCAAAAATCAGGATACCGCTCAACACTGTGGAGTGTAGAGTATTGATTACTAACACCTTATATTTTCCTATCCTTTCTTGGCCCACACGACCTTTTCTTGGTGAAACCAACCAATTAGATTGGTTGGCTACTGTTAACCGGTAATGAACACCCCCAGGGTTCTGTGCCAACTCAATGGGGTGAAACAAGGCAGTTGTGACTGCGCAGTTGATCCCATTGGTTGATCCAACTAATTGTGCTCAGAGCACAAACCGAAGTAAATCCTATTTGAACTATCGATCTCTACCAGATTTGTTTGGTAAAATCTAATTTTTTCCAGTGCATTCCATCTTTTCGCAGACTCATGATGAAAATAGACTCCTCATGGCTTTAGTCAGGCTTCCCACGCCGGTGCCTGGCCAGGATTTCAATCCACGCCCTGATCTTGTGTTTTTTCTAAGACAAAGATTTATTTCTGAGGACCAGCCTGTGATCCTCGCACTTGATGGCAGCTGTTTAGTCTTTGCCAAGCAGGAATTGTACCAAAAAGCTTGCTGGGCAGTCATTGCCTCGGACATTGACACCTTTAATGGCAAAGTGGAAGGTGCACATCAAACCCCGGCTGCCGGGGAGCGAGCGAGAAGCCCGTTCGGCTCCTGCCGAGCAATCCGCGCCAGCGTTTTGAGCGTTTTGAAAAAAAATGTCTTTTTCGCCATAGCGAAACTGCTGATTCATTCCCCAAAATGGTCTTAAAAATCCCCGGGATTTTGAAGTGTTTTTTACGATGACCTGTAATTTACAGGGAATTTGTGCCTGAAAACTCGCGCGAATTTTTTTCCACTCACATTGCCAGACGATTCTTCAAGGCTTGACCTGTGACCTCCATCAGACCTTTGGTCGTGGAGTTCATCCATCGTGATGCAAGTTAACATGAACGTTAACATCCCCACCCCCCACAACCCAGTGACGTAACGTTAGATGTGCATGTGACGCAAGTTAACATGAACGTTAACATCCCCACCCCCCTCCAACCCAGTGACGTAACGTTAGATGTGCATGTGACGCAAGTTAACATGAACGTTAACATCCCCACCCCCTCAACCCAGTGACGTAACGTTAGATGTGCATGTGACGCAAGTTAACATGAATGTTAACATCCCCACCCCCCCAACCCAGTGACGTAACGTTAGATGTGCATGTGACGCAAGTTAACATGAACGTTAACATCCCCACCCCCCCAACCCAGTGACGTAACGTGAGATGTGCATGTGACGCAAGTTAACATGAACGTTAACATCCCCACCCCCCCAACCCAGTGACGTAACGTAGACATGTGACGCAAGTTGACATGAACGTTACATCCCCACCCCCCCAACCCAGTGACATAACGTTGATTGCATGTGACGCAAGTTAACATGAACGTAACATCCCCACCCCCCCAACCCAGTGACGTAACGTTAGATGTGCATGTGACGCAAGTTAACATGAACGTTAACATCCCCACCCCCTCAACCCAGTGGCGCAACGTTAAATGTGCATGTGACGCAATTTAACATGAATGTTAACATCCCCACCCCCCCAACCCAGTGACGTAACGTTAGATGTGCATGTGACGCAAGTTAACATGAACGTTAACATCCCCACCCCCTCAACCCAGTGGCGCAACGTTAAATGTGCATGTGACGCAATTTAACATGAATGTTAACATCCCCACCCCCCAACCCAGTGACGTAACGTTAGATGTGCATGTGACGCAAGTTAACATGAACGTTAACATCCCCACCCCCTCAACCCAGTGACGTAACGTTAGATGTGCATGTGACGCAAGTTAACATGAACGTTAACATCCCCACCCCCCAACCCAGTGACGTAACGTTAGACGTGCATGTGACGCAAGTTAACATGAACATTAACATCCCCACCCCCCTCAACCCAGTGACATAACGTTAGATGTGCATGTTACGAATGAAATATGTGTGTTTTCAAAAACGGCCAAAACGCTGGCGCGGTTTTCCCCCCGCTGGCATAAACATGATATTTCTCAAGCTCACCAGTGGGCACAACAAGTTGTGGATCGCCAGCACAGCGTGACCTTGCCTTTCCACCAGAACTTGGTCCAGATCATGAAGTCAGCTGACTCGTGATTTGGTTCCTATGCCAAGAGTTTTTTTCCAGCTCGCTATGCTGCTAATCCCCGGTGCTTGCACAGGCAGGTTGCAGCGAATCAATCAATCAATCAATCAATCAATCAATCAATCAATCAATCAATCAATCAATCAATCCCCTCTGGGGGGGGGCGCGGCGGTTTCACCGGCGCGCGGGAATTAAGCTGATTATAAATACCTCCCGACCTGACTGCAGCATTGGTTCTGGTGCACATGGCGCTTTTCCTAGCCGAGTTCTTTGGCCATACAAGCTGGGGTTCAATTCCTCTGGAGACATGGTGCGGCTTGGGGTTCGATTCCCCTGGAGACATGGTGCGGCTTGGGGTTCGATTCCCCTTTAGCATGGTGCGGCTTGGGGTTCAATTCCCTTGGAGACATGGTGCAGCTCGGGGTTCGATTCCCCTGGAAACATGGTGAGGCTTGGAGGCTTGAACTTTGGTGCGGTTGGTGCCAACTGCCGAGGACTTTGCTGTGTCATGCATGCCGGGCTTGCGCCCGCATTCATGCCAATTCGTTTCTTGTAGAGATGCAATTTTTGCTGTCCCTTTTGTCTTGGGGTCTCATGACTGGTTTTCTTTTGCAGATTTTGAAAGCCCAGATCGTGGGGGTCTTGGGCCCCTCCATATGTCAGCCTTGCTATCGATGTCCTTCGCTCTGGCTTGGCCGTAATTCACTGCTACTTGGCCGGTTGGTGGCTCATTCTCCCGCTGCTCTTTCGCGCGGCGCCATGCCTGAGATGTTCATCGCACACCTGCGATCTTTAGGATCGCTTGCACGAGCGCGTGTCGCTCTTATGGCTGCTTAACCACAGCTTCGGCTGGCAGGTTGTATGTCTCTTTTCATTCATTCATTCAGCCGAGGTGCTGTACAGGGCATGGTGTGTGGCTGAGATAGTTGAGGCGAATGTGCTGAACATCCCAGCCAGGTGGGGAGGGAACAGTTTTACTTTTCCTTTGCACAGACCTTAATCCCCAAAAAGAAGATAGAACAGGCTCAATTTACCACTATCTGATAGGATTGGATCGTAGTTTTCTATTAATATCCTTTTTGTTCTTTTTGTGATTGCAAAAAACAGGTGTTTGTGGATCTATGCAAACAAGGGCAATCTTGGACATCTTCATTTCGACTGGATTCATGGAACTAAACGGTCTAGAACCCGATCGATTTGCGGGTCCATGGATCCGCTTGAGCTGGAAGTTTTTTCCAACCAACAGTTGTCAGTCCTATTTGAGATGGTTTTGAGAACTGATGAATTCTCAACCGAGATTCGACCTGATCCTTTCCCAAGTTTTCCACTTATGGAGTTCCACCTTCCCTGGGTAGACCTTGGTGAATGGGTGGGTGAGAATGAGTTACACAGTTTGTCTCTATTTGAATACCTCCCTGTAAATACACACAATATATATATATGTATGCATGTATGTATTTGTATGTATATGTATATGTATATGCATATGTATATGTATATGTAAATGTAAATGTGTATGTGTATGTGTATGTTTGTAATGTAATGTAATGTAATGCAATCTAATGTAATGTGATGTGATGTGATGTGATGTAATGTAATGTATGTAATGTATGTAATGTATGTAATGTATATAAAGCATGTAATGCATGTAACGCAATGTAATGCAATGTAATGTATGGAATGTATGTAATGCATGCATGTATGTATGTAATGTATGTAATGTATGTAATGTATGTAATGTATGTAATGTATGTAATGCATGTGATGTATGCAATGCATGTAATGCATGTAATGCATGTAATGCATGTTATGTATGTATGTAGGTAGGTAGGTAGGTATGTATGTATGTATGCATGTGTGTATGTATGTATGTATGTAATGTAATGTAATGTAATGTAATGTAATGTAATGTAATGTAATGTAATGTAATGTAATGTATGTATGTATGTATGTATGTAATGTATGTATGTATGTATGTATGCATGCATGTATGTACGTACGTACGTACGTACGTACGTACCTATGCAATCTATGTATGGTATGTATGTAATGTATGTATGTATGTATGTAATGTAATGTAATGTAATGCAATGCAATGCAATGCAATGTAATGTAATGTAATGTAATGTAATGTATGTAATGTATGTAATGTATGCAGTGTATGTAATGCATGTAATGTATGTAAGGTATGCAATGTATGTAATGTATGTAATGTATGTAATGTATGCAATGTATGTAATCAATGTAATGTATGTATGCATGCATGCATGCATGGATGTATGTATGTAAGTATGTACGTACGTACGTACGTAGGTATGTATGTATGTATGTAGGTAGGTAGGTAGGTAGGTAGGTGTGTATGTATGTATGTATGCATGTGTGTATGTATGTATGTAATGTAATGTAATGGCATGTGATGTGATGTAATGTAATGTAATGTAATGTGTAATATGTAATGTAATGTAATGTAATGTAAGTATGTATGTATGTACATGTAAATATGTTCATATTTGTACATATCCAGACGGCCCAGACGTCAGATTTGTTGCAGCCTTTCCAGTCTCCAGCATAGTGGCTATGTCGCCGCAGGATCAAAGTTTATTCGCAGAATGCCGTGGACTGCAACTACGATCGCCTGTCGCTGTTGGACGTCAGGCCGGGGATGTGGGAGTCATCCGTTGGAAATGGTCGAATATAGGGGTTGAACCATCAACAAGTCAGGAAACTAAGGATTAATTTACTGCAACCATAAAATGCCATAAAACATGGCGGAATATTGGGTGTCTACAGAACCATCGGGAGACAACCAGAACATTCCATCCTCAGCGAGCCTGAGATAGCCTCACACGTGTTTCGCTGATGAGTCAGAATTGAGGTGCATCAATGGCCAGAAAGGGGAGGAATTGGTGGTCTTATCTCTTTAACTAGGTCCACGGCTCACAGCCGGCCGTGACAAAATGTGACCATGCTGGTGGGAGCTGCTGTCTTTTTCTTCATAATTCCACGGCGTGGAATTTCTTCTGGCGCTTTTGGCAAATGAAACATCTCTTCCGTTGGGGAAAGCGGCTTCAACCTTTCGGGTCACTGGGGAAAGCACATATTCTTATTGCTTCTGACATGCATGAAATTATTTCCTTTTTCGATGGAAACCTTTCATCTGTGGTGTTTTTTCGAAAGTCCAAAAAAAATCTTCCAGCATAGCGTCCAGTGCATGTGCAAGTGCAAGGGAATATTTTCTAGTGTAGCGTCAAGTGCATGTGCATGTGCAAGAGAAGATCTTCTAGCGTAAGGTCAAGTGCGTGTGCAAGTGCAAGAGAAGATCTTCCAGTGTAAGGTCAAGTGCGTGTGCAAGTGCAAGAGAAGATCTTCCAGCGTAAGGTCAAGTGCGTGTGCAAGTGCAAGAGAAGATCTTCCAGCGTAAGGTCAAGTGCGTGTGCAAGTGCTGCAAGAAAAGATCTTCTAGCGTTTCGTGATGTGCCTGTGCAAGTGCAAGAGAAGATCTTCTAGCGTAGCGTGATGTGCCTGTGCAAGTGCAAGAGAAGATCTGAATTCAAAAGGAAAGCCACTTGAAAGTCAATTGATATCAATCGAAATCCTTGCTAATTCTTTTAACTGGTTAGATCTAAAGGAACATAAATTGACAGTAGATTGATACCAATTGAAATCCTTACTAATCCTCAGATTTCTACATAAGTTTAAGAGGAAAATCACTTGAAAATCAATTGATATCAGTTGAAATCCTTACTAACCCTTACATTTCGAATTAGATTCAAAGGACAACCAAGTGAAGTTAAGTGAAATCCTTTCTTAAGTTCATTATTCTGACTTTCCCAGACCTGGTCCCTTTTCAAATTTGCGTTTATTCAATCCCCCTGATTTGTTGAGGCGGGCAGGAGGGACCCCCCGACACCAATCAAGACCCAACATTAAGCACTAATGGTCATTAAATGTTGGAGAAAATCAAACACATCACAGCAGATGTTTTGTCCAACCATAGTCAATTTGGCAAAAGATCCGAAATGTTGATAACCGCGTCAAACACATCAAAATCAATATTCCGTAAAATTGTGCAGCCGAGAACACGCAAATCCATACATAATAATGATGTGATCCAGAGGAATCTATATAGATCAAACGCACCAATTTCAATTCAATAATCTAAAAGAAGGAATTCTAACAAACACATGCAAATAAACATGGCAGACATTTCATAGCAAACTGAAAAAGTAGAAGCTGACGTTCAGTAAAACAGCTCGAAATAAAAGAACGACTAATAAATGCATAAGTACTTGCAAAAATAGAGCAACGAATAACTAATAGATTTCAACGATTTATCAAATTATGGTAAATCCATGAGGCCAAAACTGTTTGTGTCGTTCTTTCAACTTGGAATCAACATGGGCACATGTCAATTTCAATGTCCAGGCTGGCAAACTGTAAGTAGCATATGCACAGCATGTAAAATAAGTTCGCAAATAGTGGACAAACAAACAAAGTTGCAGTGAATCAATCATACTAAGTAACTCGCTCTAAAACCATCGTGTTTGCCAAACCATTCGATCAAGTCACGAACGTAAAGGCTACAAGTCAGAACGTCAAAATTTCAAATGACATTATGATGACTGAACAACCGCACAGTCTGTGTCAAAGCAACAACGGTATCTCAGAAACATATAGTCATCACCGTGTGTGTGAAACACCTGAATAGATGTAAAACTTTTACTTGAGTGATTTTCTCACTAGCAGGGGGTGGATCCATGGTCTGGCAATCACCCACCAACGAAGACACTGCCTTTCCATGGTGATATGACGGAGGGACGCCTTTGACGCGTACCTGCCATTTCAATGGGTTTTGGCTGCGCTTCAATTTATCGAATATGGCGCGCGGCTAAGCCAAGCACTGGCACGAAGTTATTTATTTCATGACCTACACGGTTGTCGCAATCTGAAATTTCCTTCGGCATAATTTCAACCTTTGTATACATGGTATTTGGACATATTACTATTTTATGGTTGAAGGGATTCAGTTCCCAACGGATCACTCTGATGATCCAGTTCTTATCTAGTGTTTGTAAACCGCTACCTATCATGTGGTTGGGACTTCTGATCATGAGTTCATCTGAGCAGGGGGGCAATCTCATGCTTGCTGCTGATTGTCCAACGAAGAGGGCTGCAGTCATGACTGATATGACTCTGGGACGCTGGAGTCACGTACCTGCATTTCAATTTGTGTGTGATTAGCTGCGCTTCAAACTGTGTGTGATCACCTGTTCTTCACTCACGCTGTTTCGGGAAATGAAGGTTTTAGGTTTTGGTAGTTTCATGCGGTCTAGTGCTGTCAGGACGACTGCTCAGGAGCATTACTTGTAAGGCGAAGACAACCTCATCAGTATAGCGGTCCGATTACGGAGTAAATCGCTTAATCAGCAGTGTGTGTCAAAAATCTGGAAATGTTTCAGCATCATTGGTAAAGTGATTTATATGTGTTGTTTTTTGCTGAAACTATTCCAACATAATTGTTTTGTATTTGTATGTTCTCTTTTTCATTGTTGTTGTCAGCTCGATTTTCCTCAGCTGTCTTGAATTTCCTGAATGTCCTGAATTTTCAATTTTTGAAGAAAACAAACGAACACGGAAAAACTAAGACATATGTATTTTTCAAAACCTACCATTTAAAACTCTACCATTTCACACCCTATATGAATAGCGCAACATCACGAACCATTCAAAAAAATCTTTTGAAAACCTATAGTGCAACATCAAGAACGTGTCAAGGGTTACTTGAGAAAGTCCATAGCGTAAAACCAAAAACGTGTCAAAAAATACATGAGAAAATCCATTGTGTAACATCAAGAGCAGTGCGTAAATATGCAACGTAACAAGAACGCATAACATTAACGTTATTGCCCCACCCCACCCCACCCCACCCCATCCCACCCCACCCACCCCAACCGCGACGTACAAACGCAAGAAAAACTGAAACATGCACAAAAACACACAGAGCAAATTTGTTTTTCTTTTAAAACCATAACAGTTATGAAACCATAATTTGTCATCATCATCATCATCATCATCATCATCATCATCATCATCATCATCAAACACCATTAGCTATCATCCGCACATATGTCACAAGAACTATTAGTTGATACCCCCCATGACATGATTGGTGATCCATGATCAGCACCTCCATCTGTCGAACTGACACCTGCGCCCTGCTTCAGGGACTGTTCTGCTTCCTCGCAAGAAGACAAGGATGTGATCCTGCGAAAGATTGTGGATGTGGATGCGTTACTTGGATGGAGAACTTCCGGGGGGAACTCTGGGGATTGATATCCATAGACCCACCTAGCTATCACAAAATCAGATAGTTCTATATCGAAGGTATCCACTGATTGGGAATGTCCGATGCTTCGATCGGCCGACATTTTCCTGATGTAGGGTATGTGGATGATTGAGTTTGAATCCCATCCGCCTGCTGTGAAATACATTGATCAATACTGGAAAGGATTTATGCGGACCAGTGGTATCCAGTCATTTCATTTGGTTGTGTTTGTAGAACATCGCAGAATCCTTCTCGGATATCAGCTCGCCGATGAGCCAGGTTTAATTTGAAACTGCAACAGTTAGTGTTTAGTTTCTTGGATTGGAAAAGCGGGGGGTGGACCAAAAGTCCGGTGGGGAAACAAGCACTATATGACTATATGTTTGTTCTCCCCAAATATTGTGCCATGTCGTTTTTCATGTTTTTCTGCGCGTATGTCGCTCCAAATGTTGATTGATTTGGGATGGTCTTTCGGGCCTTGTGCAAACCGGACCGATGGAGAATTGCCTAAGGGGGGAATTGGGCAAACAGGACCGCAATCACTATCAGTCACACATAGAAACACTAAGATACATGTAAGAATCCTGCAATCATCCACGTACATTTTCAGTAAATATACATTGTACATATCCATATGCAGAAAAACACACACACACATGATATTAGTGCTTTTCTTTTCCAAATTACCAGCTGTATGTTTCTCGTGTCATAGTTCAATACCACAGATTCCTGAACAAAGGGGGGTCCTCTTCAATACGAGGGAATCCTGCCCCAAATATTAACCGTCTACCTGATATTCCAATAGATTTCCCAACATTTTTTCGTTGGGGCATCGGACTTCAGCACTCGTCAAAACTGGTTCTGCTGTTAGACGACCCGTCAAACTGTGGATAGAGAAGTCACGCTGTTGGACAGGTTACCTTGCTGTGTCCAAAGGGATTTCCAAGTTTTGCGCCTGTTGGGGAAGAGACACAGATTCTTTCCCGGGGTCCAAAATATACACTTGGGACACAGACTAATTACTTGTCAGTTGAAGAGTTTTCGGGATTGCTGCCATCTGATCTATTCCACGACCTTTGACGAAGGAACCTTTCCATCGCTGTCTGTGAGGGCTCGCACCACTGAATTCAGGAACCTGTGCAGCTCTGGACGTGCATCCCAAGTAGCAAGTGAAGAACACGCTATTTGGAACTGAGAAGTGGTTATATCCATTTATATCCCAGATATGCCTGAGTTCTATTTATGGACTAACTTGAAGACTTATAGTCATGAACCACTCAGGATTGATCCAACATCCGGGGTTGCCGTAGGTTCTCAGGGGCTTTTTTCGCACTGGGTTGACGGAAAAGAACGCAGTCGCCAAGTGGGTCGAATCTGGCGCCGGTCCTCGTGTTCTTCGCGGGCGCCCTGGCTGGGTTTCAAGTTCAGCATCACCGATGCCCGTAGAACAAGCCAAGTCTTCAAACCGTTTACCCTCTGGTAAACTGTCCCATAACTATGGAAAATCACCATTTTTAACGGGAAAACTCACTATTTCAAAGTCCATTTTCAATAGCTATGTTAAATTACCACAGGGTACAGCTGGCTGTGTTGCCCAAATTCCAGCTCTTTCCTATGTTAGGATATATCTCGCCAAAACTGGTCCATAGCTTTCCTGGACCAAGAAGGCATGAGTCAACATTTAGGACCCCAAACGTGGATGATATAGTGATACCAATTCCCCTAATATTAACATATATTAACCACCCCCAAGAAGGGACCCCAAAACAAATACTATCCAATCCTAAACCATGGATTCGATACACCGAAAATTGGGCTGGCAGATCCTAGGATGCTGTATAATATAATATAATATATTCAAACACGATGTATACATTCTTAATCTTTTCCCCACTATTATAGCTACTATTTCCCGCATTTTGAGAGAAATGGATTTATCTGGGCCCTAGAATCCCATTCATCATCATTTTCCCCACTAAACGGTGATGACCTATGATGAATCAGGATAAAAACCAAACTTGCGAACAAATGTTGAACGCCTGGATGTTCATCGCTTTCCAACTTACCGGTAGCAACCAAGGTCTTTGAGGATGGAGACAGCATCTGCAAAGACTCTGGCTGCGGCTGCTGTCACTTTCGATCCATGTTTTCGCCCTTTCGTTCAGATGAAGGACCGGCTTAAAAAAGCTCAAGGTTGCCGAGAAATGGTGTATATAACCAATGGATTCATCATATAAAAGTATATGAGCAATGGGTACCCATGAGGTTCTCCAGATATGGACACATCACGATGAACCAATGGATTCGGCTTCCCAGGATGATAAAATCATCACTTCCAAGTGCGGTTCAAATGGGTATAATACAAAATAATACAACCAATACCTATGGGTATAATGCAACAAAATACAACCTTTTAATACCTTTTCTAAGCTAATCAGATCTCAACCGAAACTGAAGACCTTTGCAGCGGAGGATTTGAGGATCAGTCTGAAACCTCGGACGATTGTTCCAGCTCTTCCTAAGCTTCCGAACCCTGCCTGTGTGGCGATGGAGCTGTGGACTAACGAGGCGGCACAAAGATATGCTGCCGATTGGTCAAGATGGCCAGTAACCAACCTTATTCTGGAGATTTTATGCAAATTTGTAAAGCAATTCCAACAATGTACAGGGTAATTACATCTCGCAAAAAATATCTGAATAAGATATATAAATCAATATATTTGGATATTCTTTGATCAATTTTGATCAAATCCCCATTATAATATTTTGAAGATTTATATATATATATAAATTTTTAGAATAAAGAAAAATAATTAAATATTAATTTAAATCTATGATTATTTGTTAAAAATAGTTGTTTTGAAATTTAATATTGGTTATTAATAATTTATCTGGGTTTATTATATTTTTCTTCTTTATTATGAGGTGGCATATAACTAAATTTAGTAATTTTGTAAGGCACGCTAGCAAACTCGTTAGATTTGTACTAGGTTTGCGTTAGGTCACGAAAGGTAGCTCCAGAGGGGCTACCTTGAGTTTTACTTTACGAAGTAAAGGGGAGGGCGGCCAGCCCCGCTACCTGATTATTTAGGAGATTGCTAGTCATTTTAGTACCCCCCCCCTCCACGCCTCCCACGCACCCTAAGAGCAGACTCAAAACATTGTAATATACAGTATTTTTGTTCTTTTCGGATCAAGAAACCACATTTTGTTATATGGTGAAACATCCGTAAATACCAGTGTTTTTGCTAGGTGCTGGCCAAAAACCACTGTAAATACCGTGCTTTTTGCTACCAGAGGCAAAAAATATCGTAAATACCGTGGTTTTGGGCTTCCGATCCACCCAACACATTGGTATTTACGGTGTTTTTTGCTCCGAGAATTCCAAAAACGCGCAAAAACACTACCTATTTGACGATTTTCGGCCACTACGGAACCGAGACCAAAAGCTGCAGGGGTAACACCAACACCAACCCCAACAGCACCACCAGCTCTACTCTACCACCACCATGAACAACAACAACAACAACAAGAAGAAGAAGAAGAACAACAACAAGAACAACAAGAACAACAAGAACAACAAGAACAACAACAACAACAAGAACAACAAGAACAAGAACAACAAGAACAACAAGAACAACAACAACAACAACAACAACAGCAAGAGCAACAACAACAACAACACCACCACCACCAACAACAACTACAACAAGAACAATAATAAGAACAACAACCAAAACTACAACAACTACAACAACAACAACGACAACAAGAACAACAACGAAAAACAAGAACAACAAGAACAACAAGAACAACAACAAGAACAACAACAAGAACAACAGCAACAGCAACAACAACAACAGCAACAGCAACAGCAACAACAACAACAACAGCAACAACAACAACAACCAGACCAACAACAACAACAACAACTACAATTGCAGGGGTAATACCAACACGACCACCAAGATCTACACCAACAACAACAACAAGAACAAGAACAAGAACAAGAACAACAACAACAACAACAACAACAACAACAACTGCAGGGGTAATACCAACACGACCACCAATATCTACACCAACAACAACAAGAACAACGACAACAACAACAACAAGAACAACAAGAACAACAATAACAAGAAGAACAACACCAACAACACCACCAACAATAACAATAACAACAACAATAACAACAACAACAAGAACAACAAGAACAACAAGAACAACAAGAACAACAACAACAACAACAACGACAACGACCGCAACAGGACCAACAACAACAACAACAACACCAACACCGACAACACCACCAACAATAACTACAACAAGAATAATAATATGAACAACAACCAAAACTACAATAACAACAACAAC